GGAAAGAGTATGGCTGTGCATATGCAGGAAATCGGGGAGCAGGGAGGGGATTTATCTGTGGGGGTGCGTGCTTCCCGCTCAAAGGCATGCGTGCGGCCCGGGCACCCCGCTGGCCCCCGCCAGCCCCTCTCCTTCCTCACCTTTCCTTTTGCCTCCCTGGTGCTGGCAAGGCAGTCTGTTTATTCTGTTGCGCTTTAATTTTGGTTCTGAGCTGTGCTGCACTGCGAAGTCACCAGCAGCGGTTAATTGCTCTCGCGCTCTACAGCCCTTAGTGTGCCGGTTACGCCGCACGCTCGCGCCAGGCTCCCCAGGACCGGCCGATTCATAAATACACGGGGAAGAGGGCAGGAGCCGAGCAGCGGGAGCCGGTGCTTCGGGACAGGTAGCGAAGGCTTGGTGCCTCCGCGAGCAGGTCGGTGCCGCCCCGGGAGCGGCACGCAGCACTAGGGCACGTGCCAGGCAGAGCCGCTGCTTCTGCCAAGGTGCCCGGAGGGGCTGTCGCTTCCAGGGAGCAGCGGACGGGTTTCAGACAGCATCCCCGCCACACGTGGCCTGGCCTCGCCGGTTCACGTGTCGTGGCCCAGCCTGAATCGACGGCCGCGCCGCGTCTCAAAGATGCGGGTCCTCTCCATGGGGTCCTCCACGTGACCCCCATCAGTGGGACGGAGCCTACGGGGCGTGGGTCCCCCCCACTGCTCCCATCGGCGCTTACACACGTAACACCCGCCAGCTTGGTGGGGAATGACCAGAGTTGGGGCTCTCTGGCCACCAAGGGGCTGCGTTTATGGCCCAGGCAGCGGCGGCTTGCCTCGCCTCCCCGGCACAACTGCTGCTCTGGGACAGGCGAGAGCAAAAGCCCTCCCTGCCGCCTGCATCCTCGCCCTGCAGCACCAGCTCAGCAGGGCTTTCTCCAGGGAAACCCATCTCCTCTGGGTACCCCCGGGAGCAGCAGGCATGAGCTGTGTGGGGCAGATGGCCCCTAATGACCGATCAAACAGAACCGCCCTGGGAGCAGCCCGGGCGCAGCGGCCGCCGGTGCTGGGTTGCCAGGGGAAGGGCGGGCTGCGCAGCGGGCGCTGAGCTGGCCCAGCAGCTCTTGGTGCTTGCCCGAGGAGGATGCTGGGGGGGGCAAATGTACCGCTCTGATCTTTACCTGTGGTCCAAAACGTTCCCCTAGGCAAGAAGCCAGCACGGGGCTGTGGGCAGGGTGGTAGGGCTGGGGTTGGGGCACCTAGGACGCGCTGCCCACAGCCAGCCCCCATCGGTGGGCCACAGGGAAGACTCCGGCAGCTGTAGCCCAGTGCTTTTGCGATTAGCACAAGCGCATTAGCCTCCTTCCTCTCCCCTCTGACTCCACAGATTAAGGGCCGAAGCCCTGGCACGCTGCTGGCTGGGGCGGTGCTGGGGCAGCCCCCCGCCTGGGCTGTGTTTCCTTTTTGTGCAACACCCTGATGTCACCGACTGCCGCTCCACTGCTGCGTCCTTTTGCGCAGCATCTCTGAGCTGTCCCCAAGCACAGCAAAAGGGGGTCCCTGCTCAGCCCGGGGCTCTGCGCTGCTGCCCAGCATCCCTCCTGCCCGGGCACAGGCAGAAATGAAGCGGGAGCAGAGCTCAGCATATAGATGGCCGATTAGCGGGCCCAGCAATCCCCGGTGGCTTGCGTACCATCAGTCCTTCCCACCAGCTTTGCGAGAAAATTAGGTTTCCCGGCAAGGGAAGCCCAGG